TTTGTTTTTGATTATGTATATGTGCGTTTGTAATTGTTCATAGCTTTTCATGTATAGTGGTATCGTTTCCGTGATTCTCAGTAGAAATTAAACGTGGAGCGTAGTCTCATATATATATATTGTTATCATGTACATGTGCGTTTGTAACTGTTCATATCTTTTGATGTATAGTGGTATCGTTTCTGTGATTCTCAGTAGAAATTAAACGCTGAGTGTAGTCTCAAGAATACTAAACATATAGTTTTTACGATTTAGTTTAAAGCCCACTATATGTTCTCGTATATGTACACGTTTTGATTATCCATTCTCACATGATTGTATGCTTTAGAAACATATTGTGCCTACAAGTCATGTACAGTGTAATTCATCGACGACATATCCAATGTCGAGCGAGATAATGACTTCCTGATTCGGTCCGAGTTGCTATCACTTAATTGGTAATCCTTATTCGACTGACGAATCGTAGATTTCGATATCGAAGGCTTCACTGTACCATAGCCGAAAATAAACTTCACCTGCGAGCTGCCTAACGCCAGCGTATTGTATTTTAAATTGCAATGATGTGCATTAACTCTTCAATGCCTTAATACTAAAACATCACATCTTTTATCCAATCCAACGCTGCAGAGTAATGCTTCGGCCCAGTTTCAACTGGATTGTTCTCAAAAGACGATAGCTACGCTTGTCGCTGAAAGGAAGTATGTGAAGCGAGTCTGATTATTGTGCGAGCTCCGACGTTGTCGTAAAGTACATATTAACGTGTAGATACTTTTGTCGGGTATTTGCTTTCTATGTACAAAATACCAATCAGGAAGCAAAGTGCGTCATTTCTGATGCCCTTCGGGAAGTTACTGATAGTAGGGCTAGTATCGTCTTAATATTTGTACCGACGTATTCACAAAACGCTTGTGGCTGATATTCTCATCACCTATGTTCGTGTTTATAGCAAAGCAGAAGTAATCTGCACCCATCTGCGCCTTGAAGGGCTGCTTTAGCTGATTCGAACCGAAGTAGGGCGTTTTGAATGCTCGCATAGCTATTTATCGCAAATTAGTGCGACTCCTAGAATTTGTGCTATCATCTGTTCTGTCTCAACTGTTATTAGACAGGATGGTACTTTCCTATTGGCGTGTCAGTGCATAGTACGCAATCGGTGACTGTCACGATCTGACGCCACACCGACACATCCACCTCAGATTCTTGATTAAACGACTGAAAGACAAACTCGCCGACGACCGCGCCGCGGAAGAAGCGCATATCAAAACCGTTAATGAATGCGAGAATCGGCGGAGGGGTGAGAGATTGATACAGAAACGTGCAGCCACAAGGAGATCTGGCGACCAAGTCAGTAGTAATTCTCGGGGAAAAGTTAAGAGGAAACCTAGGTCTACGGGACCCTCTGCACAGAGCAGACAGCGCAGGAAAGCCGAGCCGGTGGAGCCTACATCAGCGCCGTCGGCGAAGAAGGTCAGACTGACAGCTAAGAGGAAATCGGTATGGGTGGATGGACTGGGGTTGTGTGTTGTTAGTGTATATAAGTGCTTGTAGCCGGTAGGTGTTCCGTTTTGGGTCCCGAAATCGGAGCTGAATTCGCGCTGGTTTATGTAGACGGCCGCATTTTTCTAACAACACGTAAAAATTGATTATCGTTTTTACCAAATTTGCAGTTGTATTCATCATGTTGGTTTCTCTGTTTTCCAGTTCATTGTAGCTCGAAATCCTCTGAAGCAGGAATAGGTATATTTAATTTCCATCAAGTGAAATATTTGAGCATCCGTTGGTCGTGTGCTAGAGCCAGCCTAATTCAAAAGCTAGACTTGTTCTATGACATATTTCGTGATTCTTAATTCTAAAGCTATTCACAAATACTATAGTATGTACGTCTATATTTCATCGTATCGTGACAGCTGATCTACAGCTAGAGAAGAACATGTATGTACTTTTATGTTAATACAAATAGCCAATGATAAATATTACAATTTTTATTACATAATAGCTGGCGCCGCCTTGCAATAAACAAGAGAGTACATCCGTAACGATTTGATGTGTAGCCGCGATTTTTTTTTCAAAATTGATTATACGCAATGACCAGTAACGTGGCATGGAAATGGTTGTCGATAAATTATCAATCCGTACGCGAAGCGATGAATATTACTTCACAAACAAGTTTTCAAATTAGTTGCCTAAAAGTTGATCATCTTTTGCAACTTGCTATACAAACAGATGGACAAAAATGTAGCTTCAGATATAATGTGCGACGAAGAAGTGGACTTTGGCGAGGACGATCCCGATCTCTACGAGCGATAAATATTAAATTCGAAATACATACGTACTCTTGGAAACTAATCAGTATTATATACTTTGCGGGTTGATCTTTTTTTTGTTTTTGCAAATTTACTCACAAGCATGTCAAGCGAGATTGAGGGTCTCAGATTGTGCTCATTTGGATGTTCCAACTGGACTTATTCGACATATAATTGTATGTAGCCAAGGCGTCTGAGAGTATGTACATATGTAGTTACATAAATATTTAAATATACTTCACGGACTTCATGCAAGTTTTCGCAAAAAATAAAATAAAATTGTTAGTCGGTGGCTGTTCGGTACTCATCCTAGGAATATAGTTTTATAGAAATACTAGTTGTTTGAGAAAAATCTGATTGCGCCGCGTGCAGCAGGACTGCAGGTGTTTCATCCTATATCGATTCTGACACGTCAAAGTGAACGTTCGTGTGTTCGAGAATGTCATCATATCATACAATATATATATATACAAAAATATATTTATATATATACAACATATAGGAGCGCCATAGTAGAGCAATCAAACATATCACTGCAATCATGGGAAAGAAAAAGCAGGGAAAAGTGACCTTGTCACTGAACGACTTCTTAGGAGATGCCAAGCCCGCACCTGGCCCAAAGGATGTTGCTCTGCCTTCAGCACGTATGTGTTCCATCTAACTTGGAGTGTGCATGGTTTGTCGTGTCTATATTGGTGGTTCTTCCACGCTGCGTTAACATGAGCGCTCGCTGGTCTATTTCAAAATATAATGGCAGTGTACTTGTCTAGCCGTGTAAGATTTATCAGGTCTTTGATTCGTACTGTTGATATAAACATGTATGTGCCACGAATAGGCTCGCGAGACCAATCTTTACCAGGACGTCCTGTTTGGCTTATCTACGCTTCTTAAGTGCTTCTTTGAATTATTACATCCTAGGTACCATGATTCATAGTTGACAAGGGGTTATCGCCCAGATCGTCAACTTCATTCTGTTCCTGTTTTCTTCTTCTTCTGAGTTTAACGTCATGTACAAAGTATTCTATTGCTGTTGCCCTTTATAGCTGGTCTCGACACGAGCACCGTCAGTTCTGTATTCACCTGATACGTCTCGTGAATGATCCGAAAACTCTCCAGATATATTTAAACCTCTGGGTTATAAGGGATTTGAAAACGATGGTAGAAAGTTTTGGATTCTTATTCGTTGTCTTGTGGGACTCGACACCTGTGACTTTACAATGTGTTCACTCCAAGAAAGCTACCTTTGCATCAGCTGCATCTGAACTAGTCAGTCACCGACACTTTGTTTTGCATAGATTTTAACCACGTTGAACATACGAACTGAAAAGTGTGTATTTTCTTGTTTGTGTAAATAGCTGCAGCTCGCTTCGATGAGGACGGTGACGGTTCGGGAGGCTTCGGCCGACAAGGTATGTAATGTCGTACCTATTCAACATACCTAAAGTGATTCACACGCGGATTCGTGTATTGCTGTGATTTCGTTTAGATTATATTTAGCACTTGTTAACGAGATATGCAGTGTTCAATCACTACGAAGCCAGATACTGCACGAATATTGCTAGTAGCAGATGAGACTACTCTTGTTTGATATATAGCTCGGCGGAACGGAACGGAATGGTATTGAAGCCTTTCGGCCACACGATCAAAGAGTTGTAGTTTGGGCGTATTTCGTCATTCTGCCATTCTGTAATTTTGGGCGAAGTAATATACACGAACTATTTTTACGGCACAAATCTGAGTATCACTACTTTGGGACATTTGCGACTGCGGTGTGCATAGCATCCAATTCAGTTGCAGGGTTGCCCGTTATATGGTGTCGCACACACATGATACTGTTGAAATCTAGCTCAGGGTACTGTACATTGTTATCGTCAATGATCTTTCGTACGTGATTAAGATCAATATACAAAGACACCAATCTACAATTCCATTGTTTTTGTCGTCGCTAAAGGTCCCGTAAGGGTCCTTGGTTGCTCGATGATCAAATAGATAATAGATAATATTTTACGTTTCCATTGCAGGTGGTTACGGTGCCGGCGGCTATGGTGACCGTGATGACCGAGCTCCTCGTGAGGTATGTTATTGTTAGTTCTATTACCAGTGTTGCACTCTAACCACGGTGCGAAATGTCTTGAGTAGTAACACCACTTTCAGTTACTGTTTTCTACAAATTACGGTCAAATTACGGTCGGTTCTATAGTGTGCAGGTCCAAAGGAAATGCGACGCGTGTATAATTAGCTGAATGCCCTTAAAAGTTGTAGGTGATGTTATTCCAAATCATGACAGGACAGCTGTGATTCGTATAGTTTCATGTTAGGATTCAATCCATTTAGACTATTCACTAAACCCGAAAGTCTATTATCTCTAACCTAATACCTGCTCGATCGTTTATTATTTGGTCTTTCAGCCAGCTCCTATTCCTGACAAGGCCCCGTTCAAGATTTTCATTGGTAATTTAGACCGTGACTGCACTGAGCAAGAGATCATCGAGTTCTTCTCAGGAATGACTGTATGTCTTCAAATACGTGTAAACCTTTGTAATATGTCGATAGCTTGCATTTATAATATGTTCTTATGACAGTTTACTGTGTGTCCATCCAAATTCAAATCTATGGCAATGTTCTTCTGTTTGCTTCATTAGATTGGAGTAGCGTGCCTTTATATCTAGTGCTCATTTCAGCGTATTGTATTGTATTGTGTGCTTGTATATTTCGACTTTATGGAAATCTTCGGGGATAAGATCGGCGCAAAAATCCTCTGCACTTGTTCGCTTTACAAAGTTGGAGAGTTTTTGTGAATTTCAGGTCTTAGCTTTCTACGGCACTTTGCTCTCACACATCTTTTCCAATCAAGCTGCTAGCCTCTATTCAAGTGAACTGGTGCGATCAGACGCATTTTGGATTATAGCTTCGTAGTTTGCATATTGTCGTAGCAAGTTCCTGTCGGATAAATTGGACTAAATATCAGCCTATACGTTGTAGCTGAGACACTTACTTTAACTCGAGTAGTTCAAGCCATACGCATGCATTCCAAGAAGCACTGACATTGACGAATACCTATATTCTATGTTATTTATTTTCAATAGGTTCTTCGTTTCCATGCCGTGAACGATCGCGAGACCATGCAGTTCCGTGGGTTCGGCTACGTTGAGTTCTCCACTCGTGATGAGTTGGTGGCTGCTTTGGCAATGACTGGTCAGCAGCTCATGGGACGTGGTGTGCGTATCGATGTCGCCGCAGTCTCAGACAGAGGTAAATGAATTAACCGTGAAGGGCATTTCACCATGTTGTGTTGAGTTTGCCAGGCTTGCCTCGTAAGCTGTATGTTGTATTTCTCGAAATTGACTCTCAACTTCAGAGAGCAGATATGTGCATTCAGGTGCTGTATTAAATCACCAGAACATCGCGTTCAACCCACTTTTACATAGACACTAGCACTTCACGCCATCACCAGACATTGTACAGCATACCCATACATAGCAATGATAGCTCAAACAAGAGCCATCTTCACCTGCAGACACTGCACAGGCTGACGAGCGTACCAACAAGGCTTGGCGCACTGGCGGCGGCGGCGGTGGTGGTGGTTTCGAACAGCGCGAGCCTGAGAATGATCGTGCGACAGATAGCCCCTGGAGGCGGAATGACGGAGGTATGGCTATAAATACATGCTGATATATCATCGAATTATTGATTTGGACAACGCCCAAGTCTTCGTTTTCGCTTCTAGTTGGTACCATATGCGATCATTAGTAGTGAGTTTTGTCGTATTGTGTCAACTATTCGAAGCTCTCGTACTAAAGTTTACCATGGAACATATTGGTCTTTGAAATAGCCGCATTTGGTTATACTTATTTATCAAGTATTACCATCAGTCAGACGTTTATACTTTCTAATCTCTCGCGATCTTTAAATTTTTCTTAGGTGGTGGCGGAGGTGACAGATACAGTGGAGGCGGTGGCGGTCGCAGCTACAACGACAGGAGTGGTGGTGATAGGTACGTGGATCTTCCCAATCACGGCGAGCATGTGTTTATACTGTGTATTACTGCTGGTTTACATTAATGTCGAGCACACTTACCATGTTCGCATGCAGAAGTTATGAAAAGGTGTTCACAGGCGCTCTCACATTCGATTGGAACGATTTTTTGCAGCTCTTTTGTCTTCTGTCATCCTGACATCTAAAATCAATCTCGTATATTTTTTTTCACGGATTTGCATGAATGTAACGTAGCTCAATCATTCATGTTTCTATTCCTCACCTCAACAATTCTTTACCCGTCTACAGATATGGTGGCGACCGTTACGAAAGTCGTGGTGGTGGTGACAGATACGGCGGCGGTGGCAGTGACCGATATGGTGGTGGCGGTGGTGACAAATATGGTAGTGGTGGTGGTGGTGGCTGGAGAGGCAGCGGCGGCGACTCGTACGGATCGAGCAGGGACGATGGGTAGGTTGTGGGGTTGTAATAGATCTCTTCTCCTTCGGTATTTGTGGGTGAATATATTGATACGTGGTGTGGGTGCAAGGCATGTAGTTTGCTGTATAAAATTTCAGAGTGGTTGTCACACACCTCGCTGGCATGGACTATTTCCAGTAAATTAGTGTGCGTGTGCGTGTGCGTGCATCTGAATTCATTTCTTATATCTGCGAAGTTGGCCCGATTCGGTTTGTGTGTACTGTTTCAAATTTGGTTCAGCCAAACATTGGTTGCAGTAGACATTGGTTGCAGTAGACATTGTATGCTGGATATTTCACGAGGCTTCATATACGAGATTGCGGTTGCCAGTTCGTACCTATATCTCATTGTTGCTCCTCGTTTGCAGACCATCTGAACGACCCAAACTAAAGATAGCCCCCCGCACCAAGCCAGTGGAGTCGAGTGCGCCTGCTGCCGCTTCTGGTGGTAGTGCAAAGAGCAACCCATTCGGTGCTGCCAAACCTATTGATACGGCTGCTAAGGAGGCTGAGATCGAAAGGAGGTTGGCTGATAAGCGATCGAAGGACGCCCCGAAGGATGCTGACAAGGTATGCGAGTCTGAAACGGAGCTATTGGGATTTTGGGAGCAAGTAGGTTGGGCCAATTCGCATGAGTATATTTTTTTCAGATGGCGCGTGTTTGTATGCTTGTGCGCTTGCTATGGGCTTGAGGCTTGACTTTCGTTTTGGAAACATTCTGTTCTGCCCATCGAAACCTGATTATGCGCAGAGAATTTGGGATCAATGTACTCGTGTGACTTTCTACATAGTATTTAAAGGAAATTCTACTTCATTTTTCATACGCTTCTAGGACGTCCAAAATGTCACTGAGGGTGTAGCCAAGGTAAATGTATCTGACGAGTAAAGGAGTGGGTCTGAAGATGGTTTGCCGCAGCTGGGGCCACGACCAGTGTTTCGGCTTTCGTTGGTTCCAGTTACGCAAAGTCACAGAGCTTTCTGTGCTCGATAACAATATAGCACTTCATATCTGGGCGATATGAATATTTAGTACTATTTTTCAATTGTATTATCCTCATCTGAAAAAAATAGGGTCTGCCTATCTCAATTAGTTTGGTGGAAATAATTAATTAATATAAAATTGAAAAGTAAACCAGTTCATCGCAGTTGAAATGCATTAGGGACATTACTGATACGGTAGTTTTGAATTAAAATCTACCTTTTCAATTCAATTTTTAAACGTCTGTTCCGCCTGTTAGAGTGAGTAAAAATAAGAAGTATGAATTGTTCACACGCGTGAAGTGAATGCAGTATCGCAAACACTAATTCGGAACTTTATCAGCAGTGGCTCAAGGATCACTATACATGGAATATAATCGCGAATTTATCCAGATCAACGCTTCTGCAATCTATGCAGCATTGTGTCAAACTACCTGGGGTAGTATTACCCGCTGGAATCGCTTAGGGGCGCATGAGCATGTTATAACCCAAAAGTATTGGGAAAATACAGTTTACGCCTCGAGTGTGATCCGGGGACACCTTACATGAGACGATCTATTTTATTTAGCAGTTGCACCATTGTTTCACATATACGATTTTATTGCTTCATTTTGCAGCAGCGCTGCTATATACACCGGTTATCCTACGCTCATCTCTGCACCTTTTGCGTACAATCTATCGTCTCTTGTGTTTCTTCTTCGACTTGAATTGCTTATTACCCTTAGTCGAGCGCAACTCCTTAAGTCTGCGTTGCTTTTCACTCTTGTCCGACGCCTTCTTCGTATCCGCATCCCGTTTCGACAGTTTTCTCGCGCCGTGATCACTGATCGCGGACCCAGAGCTCCTGAGAGCCTGTACATTCTTCTTACTCGTGTCCGTGAGGTCATTTTCAAACCCAACAGTCCTCCAAGTCTTTGCATTCTTGCCCTGTTGCCTCTTGTTCTTCGTCGCCACCTCCTCTTCATACATCGTCAGCCTGGGTGTTCGCTTCTGTTTCTTCGCGTCTCGCACCGCCTTGCCCATGAGCCCTACATGCATGCCATCCTCGTCCATACTCGCTGCCATCTTGCGCTTCTGTGCCCGATTAGCCCCTGTGCGTTTCTCAATATCCTTCAGATCACTCATATCACCCAACGGCACCTTTACACTATCTGTCCTCGTGTGGTGTGCAGCACTCTCCGCCTCAGGTTCGTCATCGTCCTCACTCTCACGTCCCTCGTACGCCTTCTTACCCTGTTCCTTACTCGCCTGTTTGCCAGCCATGGTCTGGAACCACTGGCGTGCAGGCCGTGAGAAGATTTCGGTCTCGTGCTTGATCAGATTCTGCGCCTTGTTCGCGTCGCGCTCGGCCACATCCATCATTCGTTCCTCCTTCTCACGCAACATCACCTCCTTAATGCTCTCAGACATCTTCTGCACACGCGCACGGTACTTGTCCACCACAGTGGCCGGCACCACCCGACTGAGTACACCCACTTTGGCGCTGTTTACAACCTCCTTGAGCAGCGCACGCTCGCCCTCACCGACGAGTGTCACGGCGCGACCCTTGCGCCCAGCACGGGCCGTACGCCCCACACGATGGATGTATTGTGTCAAGTTGTGAGGCATTGTGAAGTTGATGACGACATCCACTCCCTGTGGAAACCAGCGATATGCATTGCAAAGTGTAAGTGATACCGTATATAAGAGCTGTCTGAATATTCTTCACTACGCGCTACAGGTGAACATTATATGGCGATGGTGTTTGGTAGGGTAAAAGGGAGGGTAGAGAAGCAGCCTTGTTAAAAGTGTGAGCCTGTACCCAATGCACGCTCCCGCAGACGTGAAAACTGAAACTGACTCTACAAATATAGAATGCAGACAAATAATGTATTATCGTTTCGACATCAAGCGACATACCACGATATCTAGACCTCGTCCCGCAAGGTCCGTAGCAAGCAAAAAGTCCACTTCACCATGCTTAAATTTGTCTAGAGACTCCAATCGTTGGAGCTGAGTGAGATTACCTGTATGTGGCAAATGACAAGGATTGAGAAGGATAGCATTGCAGACAGCACCAGAACTTTGTGCATTCATTTACGAGCATAATGCCGGGCCCCATGGGGTAGATTAGATAGTAATCAGGCACATGAAGTAGCAATTGGATGAATATGCACGGAACTATGCATAATGAACGTGACGGGCCGGAATGCTATCAACACGCACATGGCCTCATTGGTGCTCTACATCGATGCGACGCGGTCAAGCGCACACACTATTTTGTCAAACGAGCAGTTGACTCGCAAGCCACAAGGTATGGCTGAACGTGTTCTTTAACCAAGACATACCGTGTAGTTCGGCACCTGAAATACCAACAAGATCGAATATAACCTTCATGCGGTGAGCAGCGGCCTTCGACCGGAAAAAGATGATGGTCTTGGTCTTGAACGAGCGCTTACACAGTGCTAGTAAGATAGCGTCTCGATCTCCCTCCTTAGCCTTACGCACACGGATGAACTCTTGTATAAGGTTATCAGCCGTGTCTGGGGTAAAGATACGATGGGAAGGAAGCAAACGTTGATTAAGCGTTGAAGATGACTGAGCCACGAGACGTGACGTTTGTACGGCAAAAATACGAATCTGAACGAACATGAAATACCCCAGGATCCTATGGTTGGTAGCTTTAATAATGTAGTCGCATCTCGGCGAGTATTCTGCAATTGAAAGAAAAAGCGGAAGAGAACACTACGAGCCACAATTCAGATAGATCTCACCTGTATTCTTGTCGATAAAGAGGCGGATAGGCTGGTGTAGCGACAAGTTAGCCAACTGGTCAACTTCGTCGGTCATGGTGGCGGAAATCAACATGGTTTGTCGGCCCTTAGGGCATTTGCGCACAATCTCATCAACTTCGTCACGGAAACCAAGCTCGAGAAGACTGGAAATAACCAATTGTGAACATTTAATACTTATTCTAACGATTAGGCATCATAGGTCAATGCACACCGGTTTACAATTAAATGTGTAAATGGCCATTGTCTAAAAAAAAATGAGGAAACAGGCATGAGTATATCTAGAAATATCATCACATCAATTTTGAGAGCATGCAACCAGTACAAATGTACAGAAACAGCTATTTTCTATTTGCAAAAAAAAATAGATGCGTGAAAGTAGACTGGCATACGGTCAGATATGACCCTGAAGTATCTAAACACAAAGACAAGTAGCTATCACAAGTTTTAGCAACGGCAAAACAAGCCAAACTCACCGATCAGCCTCGTCCATGATCAACACTTCGATACTCTGCAGATCGAAACTCTGAGTGTTGTGCACGTGGTCAATCAATCGCCCTGGGGTGGCAATGATCACATCCGGTCTGTTGCGCAGCTCCACTTTCTGACTCTTATCAGCCACACCTCCAACAATCAAACTGAAGGTAACGTCCGTGAACTGTGCTAGCTTTACGGCAACATCACGACACTGCGCCGCTAATTCACGGGTGGGCTCCAGCACTAACACGCGTGTGGCGGGGTTGTTGCGGGGGCGATACATCAGACGCTCGAGCACAGGAAGCATGAAGGCGGCCGTTTTACCTGCAAAGATTGAGTCGAATGTATGGTTCGAGATCAGTAAATCTGAAGCAGAGATATATAATTGCAGGATATAGTACTGTACTTGCATTTGCATGGGTGACGCTACTCTATACGCATCCGATGATTGGTAAAGGTGCTGGCCCAAAAGTACAAACACTTCAAAAGAGCACAAGTACATGTTAGGTGCACTTTTGTTATAAAAAGAAACACAGTAGATACGAACATGCGTTTACGCAATGATCAGATACCGCATCGACAGATACCATGAAAACGATATAAAACCAATAGCGCCTTTGGGTGTAAACATACCCGAACCAGTACTCGCACAGGCACAGATATCCTTTGCCATAAGCGCCAAAGGGATGACTTTCGATTGAATTGGAGTGGGTGTGACATATCCGATAGAGGTCACGGCGCGCAGAAGATGTCTGGACAAATTCATATCTTGAAAATCAATAACACTGGCCAACTCTGGTGCTTTGGAGAAGAAACTGTCCTTCTTAGACTTCTTCTGCTGGCTGGAACCAGATTGCACAGACTCATGATCCTTCGTTCCATTGGTATCGTCGTCGCTATCACTTTCACTTTCCTCCTCCTCAGAATCACTGAAGTGATGCTCAGGCTTAGCCTCACTCACTTCTTGAGTCACCGCAGGTTTCTTGCTCTGGACTTTCTTTGTACTCTTGACCTCTTTTGTGGTGCCCTGACCCTCCACAACATCCTCCTCTTCATCGGAAATTTCGTCACTGTCGCTATCCGCATCAGAGGGATTGTCATAATCGGAACCACCCTATTTTTGATAGAATTGTTCGAAAAACAATAGAATCAATTGGCAAGTGACACATTATTTTATCTATGACAGAGTATATTGACATGCATATCAATATTTGGAAGACTCGCCAACGAAACATTATAGACGCAAGATGTATACACACTATACAAATTTAGATACTTTAATAGCTTATGTATCATATGACATAAGATACACGCATCCGTTATGAAATGTTTATAGAACGCAAGCGGCTCGTATCAATATACACAATCTTCATGACTATCAAAAGAAGTAGACCTCTCCATCTCTACATGGGTACCAATTCGCATAAAATCATAGTGATACGTTAAAAGGCGATGTGTATACAGAGGAAGACACACACACACACACACACACACATATATATATATAGTAAATGTATTGGTAAATATACAAATATATATGAACATACAAATACATACAAATAGACAAACACACACACAAACAAGCACATGTATCAGACCCACACGCATACGCACAGACCCCCATTCACACATATATGGATACATATACATATATCTGTAGTCATGCATAGGTGTACATTTAAATATTCAATATACAAATAAATAGATGCATAAATGTGATATATATATATATAAATATATGTACAAAATATGTTTATATCTTTATCTATATCTAAATCTACATATATATATACGCACCCACTAACCCGCCCACCCACAAACATATATGCATATATATAAGCGAATTATTTATATATATATATATATATATATATATGTATATGTATATTTATATATATATATATATATGTATATATATATATATAACTTGCACAGACACACACAAATCGTACACACAAACCAATCCCATATCTATACATTCTATATATATATATATATATATATATATATATATATATACGTGTATAAATATACGTATATTACGGTCATAAATATAGTTAATTTCAAATATATATATATATCTAAACACTGTTTAAATACTGAATCATGAGCACATACGAGAAAATTGGCTTTCAAAACGTTATTCTGACATATATGATATAAATGTAGCAACTGATACAGATCTTTAGTTGCAGCATACCTCAGCAGCTATGGTTGATCGTTTCGTTTGCATGTAGTTCATCATACGTTTCTCTCCTAAGCTCTGACTTGTGACGGCAAAAGCATTGTCCTCCGGACGGAATGCAAAGTCGTCGTTCCATGCCTCTTCGCCTTTTGCTACCTTTTTATTCTTTGCTTGTTTCTTCTTGCTCTTTGTTTCCGATTCAGAATCGCTACTCTCCTCCCCGTGCAAGGCCAAGAACTCATCGTCGTCTTCTAATGTGTGAATCAACGCCACCATTGTATGAAGCGGTGGGCGTGTATTCGACTAGTAAGTGAGGTGTCTTGCAATCTATCGACACAATAGATATATATATATATAGTATATAGATATATATATATATATATATATATATAT